CCTCAGCTAGAACAGTCTGCTCCATTAAATATATTACCTCAGCTAGAACAGTTTGCTCCATTAAATATCTTACCTCAGCTAGAACAGTCTGCTCCATTAAATATCTTACCTCAGCTAGAACAGTTTGCTCCATTAAATATCTTACCTCAGCTAGAACAGTCTGCTCCATTAAATATCGTACCTCAGCTAGAACAGTCTGCTCCATTAAATATCTTACCTCAGCTAGAACAGTTTGCTCCATTAAATATCGTACCTCAGCTAGAACAGTCTGCTCCATTAAATATCGTACCTCAGCTAGAACAGTCTGCTCCATTAAATATCTTACCTCAGCTAGAACAGTTTGCTCCATTAAATATCGTACCTCAGCTAGAACAGTCTGCTCCATTAAATATCTTACCTCAGCTAGAACAGTCTGCTCCATTAAATATCTTACCTCAGCTAGAACAGTTTGCTCCATTGAATATCTTACCTCAGCTAGAACAGTTTGCTCCATTAAATATCTCACCTCAGCTAGAACAGTTTGCTCCATTAAATATCTTACCTCAGCTAGAACAGTATGCTCCATTAAATATCGTACCTCAGCTAGAACAGTCTGCTCCATTAAATATCTCACCTCAGCTAGAACAGTTTGCTCCATTAAATATCGTACCTCAGCTAGAACAGTTTGCTCCATTAAATATCTTACCTCAGCTAGAACAGTTTGCTCCATTAAATATCTCACCTCAGCTAGAACAGTTTGCTCCATTAAATATCGTACCTCAGCTAGAACAGTCTGCTCCATTAAATATCTTACCTCAGCTAGAACAGTTTGCTCCATTAAATATCGTACCTCAGCTAGAACAGTCTGCTCCATTAAATATCTTACCTCAGCTAGAACAGTTTGCTCCATTAAATATCTCACCTCAGCTAGAACAGTTTGCTCCATTAAATATCGTACCTCAGCTAGAACAGTCTGCTCCATTAAATATCTTACCTCAGCTAGAACAGTTTGCTCCATTAAATATCGTACCTCAGCTAGAACAGTCTGCTCCATTAAATATCGTACCTCAGCTAGAACAGTCTGCTCCATTAAATATCTCACCTCAGCTAGAACAGTCTGCTCCATTAAATATCTTACCTCAGCTAGAACAGTTTGCTCCATTAAATATTTTACCTCAGCTAGAACAGTATGCTCTAAATATCTTACCTCAGCTAGAACAGTTTGCTCCATTAAATATCTTACCTCAGCTAGAACAGTCTGCTCCATTAAATATCTTACCTCAGCTAGAACAGTTTGCTCCATTGAATATCTTACCTCAGCTAGAACAGTTTGCTCCATTAAATATCTTACCTCAGCTAGAACAGTTTGCTCCATTAAATATCTCACCTCAGCTAGAACAGTCTGCTCCATTAAATATCTTACCTCAGCTAGAACAGTTTGCAACATTAAATATCTTACCTCAGCTAGAACAGTTTGCTCCATTGAATATTTTACCTCAGCTAGAACAGTATGCTCTAAATATCTTACCTCAGCTAGAACAGTCTGCTCCATTAAATATCTTACCTCAGCTAGAACGGGGGGGGGGGGGGGGGGGGGGGGGGGGCCAATGGCATAAAAATGGCATAAAATGGAGACTTTTTCTATGGAGAAAATGGAAAAAACCCATGAGTAATTCTCCATTTTCTCCATTTTATGCCATGAATTTTGTCTTCGAAATTTCATTTAACACCTAAATTGGACATCCTAACATGTTTATTGACGCTTACTAGGGGCGTAACAAGCTTATGAAAGCTCATAATAGGAGGGTTAATTTTTTAAGTCAAAATTTTTCAAAGTTTTTCCGAAAAACACTTTTCTCCACGTTTCATGCTACCTTGTTCATTATAAGCCGAAAATATTTTTTCGGTCAAAATTTTTCAAATTTTTTCTGAAAACCGCTTTTCTCCACGTTTCATGCTACCCTGTTCATTATTTGCCGAAAATATTTGTTCGGTTTTTCGAAGTTCACACCTTCCCCTCGATACACAATTTTGGACTCGAGGTAATGCGATCTCGGAAGGCAGACCTCCCCTTTGAAACACGAGCTCGGAATCGGGAGCTCTCGATACGGGAGGTACGTATCGAAAATGACTCGGACCGAACATTTTCTAAGTTAACATTTTTCAAAGTTTTTCTGAAAACCACTTTTCTCCATGTTTCATGATACCCTGTTCATTTTTGGCCGAAAATATCTTTTTTTTAAATAATTTTTCTCGAAATTCTAGATTTTTCAGGTTTTCAATGGCATAAAATGGCATAAAATGGCATAAAATGGAGACTATTTCTATGGAGAAAATGGAAAAACCTATGAGTAATTCTCCATTTTCTCCATTTATGCCATTGGCCCCCCCCCCCCGCTAGAACAGTTTGCTCCATTGAATATCTTACCTCAGCTAGAACAGTCTGCTCCATTGAATATCTTACCTCAGCTAGAACAGTCTGCTCCATTAAATATCGTACCTCAGCTAGAACAGTCTGCTCCATTAAATATCTTACCTCAGCTAGAACAGTTTGCTCCATTAAATATCGTACCTCAGCTAGAACAGTCTGCTCCATTAAATATCTTACCTCAGCTAGAACAGTCTGCTCCATTAAATATCTTACCTCAGCTAGAACAGTTTGCTCCATTGAATATCTTACCTCAGCTAGAACAGTTTGCTCCATTAAATATCTCACCTCAGCTAGAACAGTTTGCTCCATTAAATATCTTACCTCAGCTAGAACAGTATGCTCCATTAAATATCGTACCTCAGCTAGAACAGTCTGCTCCATTAAATATCTCACCTCAGCTAGAACAGTTTGCTCCATTAAATATCGTACCTCAGCTAGAACAGTTTGCTCCATTAAATATCTTACCTCAGCTAGAACAGTTTGCTCCATTAAATATCTCACCTCAGCTAGAACAGTTTGCTCCATTAAATATCGTACCTCAGCTAGAACAGTCTGCTCCATTAAATATCTTACCTCAGCTAGAACAGTTTGCTCCATTAAATATCGTACCTCAGCTAGAACAGTCTGCTCCATTAAATATCTTACCTCAGCTAGAACAGTTTGCTCCATTAAATATCTCACCTCAGCTAGAACAGTTTGCTCCATTAAATATCGTACCTCAGCTAGAACAGTCTGCTCCATTAAATATCTTACCTCAGCTAGAACAGTTTGCTCCATTAAATATCGTACCTCAGCTAGAACAGTCTGCTCCATTAAATATCGTACCTCAGCTAGAACAGTCTGCTCCATTAAATATCTCACCTCAGCTAGAACAGTCTGCTCCATTAAATATCTTACCTCAGCTAGAACAGTTTGCTCCATTAAATATTTTACCTCAGCTAGAACAGTATGCTCTAAATATCTTACCTCAGCTAGAACAGTTTGCTCCATTAAATATCTTACCTCAGCTAGAACAGTCTGCTCCATTAAATATCTTACCTCAGCTAGAACAGTTTGCTCCATTGAATATCTTACCTCAGCTAGAACAGTTTGCTCCATTAAATATCTTACCTCAGCTAGAACAGTTTGCTCCATTAAATATCTCACCTCAGCTAGAACAGTCTGCTCCATTAAATATCTTACCTCAGCTTGAACAGTTTGCAACATTAAATATCTTACCTCAGCTAGAACAGTTTGCTCCATTGAATATTTTACCTCAGCTAGAACAGTATGCTCTAAATATCTTACCTCAGCTAGAACAGTCTGCTCCATTAAATATCTTACCTCAGCTAGAACGGGGGGGGGGGGGGGGGGGCCAATGGCATAAAATGGCATAAAATGGAGACTTTTTCTATGGAGAAAATGGAAAAACCCATGAGTAATTCTCCATTTTCTCCATTTTATGCCATGAATTTTGTCTTCGAAATTTCATTTAACACCTAAATTGGACATCCTAACATGTTTATTGACGCTTACTAGGGGCGTAACAAGCTTATGAAAGCTCATAATAGGAGGGTTAATTTTTAAGTCAAAATTTTTCAAAGTTTTTCCGAAAAACACTTTTCTCCACGTTTCATGCTACCTTGTTCATTATAAGCCGAAAATATTTTTTCGGTCAAAATTTTTCAAATTTTTTCTGAAAACCGCTTTTCTCCACGTTTCATGCTACCCTGTTCATTATTTGCCGAAAATATTTTTTCGGTTTTTCGAAGTTCACACCTTCCCCTCGATACACAATTTTGGACTCGAGGTAATGCGATCTCGGAAGGCAGGCCTCCCCTTTGAAACACGAGCTCGGAATCGGGAGCTCTCGATACGGGAGGTACGTATCGAAAATGACTCGGACCGAACATTTTCTAAGTTAACATTTTTCAAAGTTTTTCTGAAAACCACTTTTCTCCATGTTTCATGATAACCTGTTCATTTTTGGCCGAAAATATCTTTTTTTAAAATAATTTTTCTCGAAATTCTAGATTTTTCAGGTTTTCAATGGCATAAAATGGCATAAAATGGCATAAAATGGAGACTATTTCTATGGAGAAAATGGAAAAACCTATGAGTAATTCTCCATTTTCTCCATTTATGCCATTGGCCCCCCCCCCCCCCCGCTAGAACAGTTTGCTCCATTGAATATCTTACCTCAGCTAGAACAGTCTGCTCCATTGAATATCTTACCTCAGCTAGAACAGTTTGCTCTATTACCACCGCAACATTCCATTAAATATCTTACCTCAGCTAGAACAGTCTGCTCCATTAAATATCTTACCTCAGCTAGAACAGTTTGCTCCATTAAATATCTTACCTCAGCTAGAACAGTCTGCTCCATTAAATATCTTAACTCAGCTAGAACAGTTTGCTCCATTAAATATCTTACCTCAGCTAGAACAGTCTGCTCTATTAAATATCTTACCTCAGCTAGAACAGTTTGCTCCATTGAATATTTTACCTCAGCTAGAACAGTATGCTCTAAATATCTTACCTCAGCTAGAACAGTTTGCTCCATTAAATATCTTACCTCAGCTAGAACAGTTTGCTCCATTAAATATCTTACCTCAGCTAGAACAGTCTGCTCGTTGGCATCTCGTCTGACCCTTACGTCGAGGGTTCCCGCTAAAACACCCCAAGTTAACGTCCAGAAGTGCTCGTTCCTGTAAAAAGCAGTGATGTTCACATCTTCTAGCTTAGATATGTGAAATAAATCAAAATATTTGTATGTTTATGTCACCAAATAAATGATAGACGAACAACACATTCATGATTGTAATTTCTTTAGTTTGGGGATATTCTTGTAGGTAAAAAGACACAGGAAACGGTCCAATTTCTTCAAATTTTCTTAAATTCAGCTACCTATACCCTTCTGTCGTAAGAGTTATAATACGGAGTTTTTTTTCGTGCTTGTCCATATGATGACCGCTACAACAATTTAATATATTTTGATATCTATACAAAATTTGGGAAAAATAACCTTATTTTTTGTGTGCATGGAATGACCGAGCAAATGACATGTAATTTAGTATCTACAAGTATTATTCGACTGAATCGGCAAGATCAGATTTAGACAATTCGTAAAAAAATCATTAGGAATTTGCTGTTTGTAGTAAATGGGAATATAAAGTACTAGTGGACTATACTACAAATTGTAGAACTGCGAAAAATATAATATTAAAAACTTCTGAAACGCTAAATGGAAGGGCTAGACACTAGTGACCTCTGTCGTCAGCATCAATATTTTCAGGGGCGCACTAAAATTTTGGTTTTGCTTCGGTGCCTCGCCGATTTAATCGACCATTATCCCTTTTTGGATATAATCTAGGAGTTATTTCGCCATCCAGCGCAAAAAAGGAGCAACGACTAACTTTGCCTAGTTCTGACCTAAAATGAAGAGCTATTATTTACTGGTCACTTTTAGTAAAAAATAAGGCTGTGAGACTGACTAATTCTTTGTTAGTGATATGCTAAATGATTTTATGTTTTATAATTTGGATTTATTAGTCGAGAACTGGATAATTATCTTGTCCATCATCACTTTAAAACTCAACCGTTCGCCATTGCGATCACTTTGATATCTCTCGAATATTTGAAAAGCACGTTTTGAGTGCACGAAATATATCATGATGCTTTTAATCACGACTATCTTCATAACTGGAATCTCCGCTTTTGACCAAACAGGTAGGCTGGTTTCGTACTATTGCATAATGCAGAATGCCTTTTCATTCTAAACTAATTAATATTAAATCGTTAATATATTAATATGAATCAGCACGAAAGATTTTTGAGACTTTCAGGTCAAATAGCATTTCCTTTGACAATTTGAACACCTAGGCTGGAAAGCAGTACGAACTGGCGGTAGCATAAACTATGACCTGGAGGAGACACCACTAGAGATAAAATCAGACACCAACCTAGGGAGGAAACTCGACATTCTCTTCTATTCTAACGATCAATGGGCAGGAGGAATCTCAATTATTTCCCAATCCACTCCAAGATACTATCTCTACTACTGCGGCGGGTCATATTATGAAACCTCCTCAGCAAGCCTGCCATCTGCCACTATCGAGATATGGAGGATCACACTAACCAAGACCTCTGGTGTCCGAGTTGTGGTACAGTGTAACGAAGTGGAAGTGGTCAACATCCTGATGTCGATCTCTACGTGTAGCGGTGCCTATTCGCGTGTTAGCTGGAGCAAAGACGTAGATCAGATACTGTTCACTATCAGGGACACCGGTTCACATTTCTACAGAAAAAGGATACCAGGTACGGTAATTTGAAGTTAGAAAAATAAAGTATGACAAATGAAAATCATTATGAGCTGTCAATAAATTACGTAGTTGTTAAAGAGTGTGTAACGTGTATTCAAATTAAATTTATGATTCAAGTTAAATCAAAGTTTGTAGAGACTGAACGAGGTTGGGAAGTTTCAAAACTGGGATATGGGTGGGGTGATTAGTGCAATCTCTATTTATAACACAATTTTTATTCGACTGTTATTATTAACCAAGATATCTATTAACCAAGGTATAGGTATACTATACTACCGCCATGTTCCCATCTATCTGGATATTGGACAATATCAGAAAGATTAAAACGGGGGGGGGGGGGGGGGGGGGGAGATTTCCTCTAGGCTCCGTGTGTATTAAAGGACTTCTGTAAGACCTTTTGTTGAGAGGGATAATTTAATTTAATTGAATACTTGTCCTCCAGCATTCTTTGTTAAACAAATCACTAGTACCATGTTAACGCACAACATAATTCTCCCGAGTAAAATATGCTCGCACAAAACTTGGTTACCATGAATATGGAGCATAGTACTCAGCCTCCTAAGGGCCAATATGAATAACCGGCATGGAATCAAGTCACGTGGGTAGTCATGGGGTTTTATTGGCTAGATATTCTGAATAATTCAAGTGCGCGATAGACAACTTTACCCTGTCACAATTTATATCGAAAAAATCTACCACTTAAAATATCCTTGACGCCACCAATTGCTCATCTAAATTTGACATATTTAATTAACAAAACATGTAAAGTCTTACTCCCCAGACGCTGGATTATCGCGTATTTAAGAGACACCGTATGATGGGTCCACTGCCCGTTACTCACTTTGACTAAATTTCTGCTAATTCTCAGTTGTTTTTACCATTGTAACCCCTGTTTTACGCTAGTCATCGTTATTTTTAAGGTTTAGACACTGTCCAATGGATCGACAGGTATGGTCTGTTAACTGTTTTATTTCCAAATACCCTTTACTTTTGTGATACAAAAACAGTATTCACTAAGACAACACTCTAAATTCTAATCTCTAATAAATTCTGGACCTACGTAAAATACAAATCCAAGTCACCCAGATCTCTGAAAATACAATTTAAATCGTTGCCGAAGAGTCAAGCTGATCAAGCTGACCCCTTTAACGATTATTTTGTTCAAAGCCCAATTTTTGTTATGGATTAGTTTTTTAAAGTTTTTTAATGTATGTATCAGCACACAAAATGGCTATAACGTGGTTTTAACCTCATTTTGTGACGTTATCAAATGAAGATTCTAACCTGAACTCCAGTACTCCGTCAAGGGTTGCAGCCTCCCTCAAGCACTTGTCAAGAGAGGATATCATGTGACCGGGGGTGGTCTGGAGCAGCACTTTGCTTGTATACACTGACAGATAATATCTATAAGATTTAGAGAATTAATGGGATAATTGAGATTCTGATAATGAATAGTTCAATTATCATATTCATTTAAGAATGAGGTCTAGGAGAATTCAAACTACAAAATAGATCGACTAACGTACACATAATATATATAAAACAGACAGACAGACAGACAGACAGACAGACAGACAGACAGACAGACAGACAGACAGACAGACAGACAGACAGACAGACAGGCAGACAGGCAGGCAGGCAGACAGACAGACAGACAGACAGACCGACAGACAGACAGACAGACAGATACCTGTCATTGGCAGTAAGGTAGCGATGGTAATAAAGCTGATAAGGATAGCTATAAGAGGATCTGCTCCTGGCAGATCATATGAAGTAACTAGGTAGTATGAAGCTGCAACCCCCAGAGAGGATAAACCTGAAACGGGAGGAGAGTTAAAAAGTTAGAGCGTCCATTTCTATCATGAATATCATAGATCATTTGCCGGTAAATAAAAATAAAAACAAAACAAAACTTACATGTTACAAGAGCTAACGGGTTGAGAGGTTTACCAGGCAGAAACAATCCTGCCAGAAGAGGCACATACCCGAACAAGCTGCTACCTAATCGGAAAACAAGCTTAAAGTGGCAAATCAGTAGTCACGTGACATTTGGAGTTAATAAAATACCAGTTCTAAATAGTGAGAGGTGAAATGATACCATCGAGTGTTTTTTTCCATAAAAAATACTTAACTTAAATCAATATCCATACTTCATTCATTTTATCTTGTCACGAAGGCGGATTCCGTCGTAAAATAAAAAAGATTGAATTGCAAGAAGTTCCGAGTTTAGTTACCTAAATCGTTGACTGAGTCCTGTACCCAGTTGCTGGGAGAGGAGCGAGCTAGGTGCTCGTAAGCTGGGTTCTTCACCAGAAAAGTAGCTCCGAAATGTAGTCCAAGACCTGGTATTGAGTATATTGATTAGTAGGGGGAGGCAGGACATATTATTTGCTTTGACACGTGATGATTGGTAAAATGCGACCATTTAAGTAAAGCGTAGTTTGCTGAAATCTGTTCAAACACTTGCTTAGTGTTTAGTGCTTATTTCATTAATAAATATAACTTCCAACTTTGACTCAAAAACAGCGCATAAAATCTCACAAACCAAACACAGTAGCCGGGAGCATGGAATCAGGTCTGAAGTCCAGTCCCTCGAGGAGATGATGCACAGCTTCCTTTATGATAAAGAAGGAAATGAACTGGGTGAGTAGAGTAGCGGAGAACACAGCCAGAACCTCTACTCTGGAGTAACCGTATGTGAAGGTCAGGGAGGGAGCCTGTTTCTCTGACCATCTGAACAATAAATAATTCAATATTCTCCTCACATAATGTTGCAGGTTGAGCTTCAACCCGCTAATTTGTTTCAATTTCTTTCCTAGCCCCAACCCTCTGATGTTTCGATCAATTTTCAAAAATTTGTATTACAGCTATCAAAAATATCCAGTATTGGACTCTACCTGCAGCCGATAGGATTAAAGAAAGTAATTACCTGAAGATGAGAGCGGATACGAGATTAGCAAAGTCAAATAGGGTGAGAAAGGTGAGGGCCCGCAAAGCTAGACTGTTTGTAGAGTAAACCCAGTAAAACATGAATAGTATACCTGGAGAATTAGAGTTATTAGAAATGTAATAAAATAAGCAAATATTTTCTATTATATAGGTGAATACTGAATAATTATATAACATTGACTTAACTTAGCATTATGAATGGCCACCGAAAAATCATTTTACTGCTCTTTGACTGCAACTAAAATAAGTCGGATTTAGTTCCTTAATCCAAGTAAAATATCATTTTCAAAAATTCAGGTTCAACTGACCTAAGAATGTTCCAGATATGGCATAAATACATCTCCGAGATTGAGGGTCACCGGAGAGCGATCTCAACTCCTTTAGCAAACCCATATCTTCAGCAACACCTCCGAAGTTCTAATAACACCAAACTTTGAGTAAGTTAGTTTGCAGTTATAAGTAATTACTCGGTTGTAATCAATTATTTAATTGATTAATTAATTGCTCTGCCACAGATGAGATGTTAAGGTAATGTTGTGATGTAGCTCCTTGATAGAGTAGAGTTCTTTCTCGCATGCTAAAAAAAGAATAGTTTCGTTAAAATTTATTTTAAAGATCGGTCCCGTTATTTGAAAAGCAAACCAAATATCAATTATATAAGATACCTTTGTAGCTTTGTAGGTAAACACAAACTAAATATATATTATATATGTGGTAATAAGAATCTAAATAAAACAAAAAAGTTTTTGTTATAGATTTTAGCTAATTCGATTTATTTGATGAAGTATAATAAAACAGTTCATTCAAAATGTGTACTGGTCTATATAATAATAGTCCAGCACAATAACTTTCTGATATATCATATCGCTACATTTATACCGGCGGAACCGTAAAGCGGTAAACAACGATGACAAATTATTATTTGCGTATACTAAACTAATACTTAATTGTGATTACTTAATATAATCATGAGCTTAACTTTTGTATTATATGCTTAATTAATATCGACTTTCTTTGTTTAATACAAGCACATTACACAAATCAAGTCGATATTAATTAAGTTAGATATAACAAATATAATAATAATATATAATAATATAAGATATAACAAATTATCTAGTACACTCTCTGAATGATGGACGATATACAAATTTGATATCGAACGGTCAATACAAAACAAAGACACGACCCAAAGCAAAAAAAAACTGTCCAAACAAAACACTCTCTCTACATACTCCGGAGAGATCGATTAATCATCAAAAGATTTTCCACGTTTTAAAAACGATGTTGGGTTGATAACACAGAAAGTGCTGTCATGTTTTTATTACGCCACTGAAAATTTAATTTATAGAAAAGTTCTATGGTAGCCAATAGAAGGTTGTATGAAATGAAATGAAATGAGGTATTTATATCCCGCTCATATGATTAACCAACAACACAAGGAAGGTGGTTAACCATGTCAGAGCGGCTGACTGTGAGTGATGTGAGCAAATGTGTAAAAGTGAACTAAAGTATAACTCGTCATAAGGTAAAGACAAAATTAAAACATCTTTTATTGTAAACCACACTAAACTAAATAGAAGCAGAAACCATACAATACATGTAGGTAAAATAAAGGTACAGTGACATAATCAGTCAAGAAAGAGACAGATCCTAGAAAGTTAGACATCAAGACATAAAATGGAGTGCGGTAAAAAATAGAAGCCAACGTGTCTTGCAAAGTGAAGACAATGGAAAGAAAAAACATCAGAACTGATTATATAAATGATTCTTTAACATTCGCTTGAAACAGTTGGTATCAGTAATACTTCTCAACATCAGCGGAAGAGAGTTCCATGCAACCGGTGCATGGCTTGAAAAACGTCTGTCATCAACTTTGGATCTTTTATTCTTTTAAAACAATTTAAAAAAATACCATCAGTGTATAATTACAGCGGGAGTTTTACAAGAGTTTTTTTTTCAGATCAACTATGCAGATAATCTATACTTGATATAGTACAAATATCGGCTTTCGAACAAGTAAAACCAAATTAAGAATATACCGCTGCTAGCAGCTCATTTTAAGTCAATCATCATCGTCGTTGTCAATATCGTTGTCATTTTCATCGTCATCATCATCATCTTTTTCGGATTCTTCACTTTCGCTTTCACTTTTCTCCTCTTCACTATTTTCACTTTCACTATCACTTTTATCTTCAGCTTGTTTATTTAATTGCTGGATAGCTCCGTCTTTTTTATCTTTGTTCTTGTCTTGGTCTTTGTTTTCCCCGTCAAGTTTATCTTTGTCCTTATTTTCGTCATCACTGCCTGCTTCGTCATCGAATATATCGTTGTCAAGCAATTCTCGTTCCAGCTGTTTGGCATCAAACCTAAAATCGCGTGTTTCAAATTAAATATTCTGCGATATCATCACTCATCAGACTTATAAAAATCAAGCCTCAAAAGTTGACGAATTTTTACGGTTTATAAAAAAAAACCTTTAAAAAAATATTAATTAAGAGTCCATTATCAGCACTCTTACGTGGATTGAATGTTCTGGAGTTTTCGTCGGGCATCAGTTTTATTCCTCTTCAGTTGTTTCCGCAGCATAGGATCTTCTTTAGCGGGGTCTTTAGTAATGTCCACCTGGTCCATCAGATGAAACCCACCGTCCAACCTGAGTAAATGTGGAGTTATAGGACGTGAATCTTGACTAATGATGGGTAGGCGATGTTAATTGTTTAACTAGCTATTAAAAGGAGCAGTTTGGACTTTGGAGCATATTAATATTATATTACTTTATAAGTATCTACGCCTGCAGTTAGTAGCCCAGTGATTATTTCAACAAGTACACATAAGGGGGACATAATTGTAATTCTGAGACTGATGTGCTGCATATTTTGTTAATATTACTCCACTATCGTCAGTATTGTGCAATTCGTACAATAATTAAAATCTCTCACTCGATAATTGCTAAGGGTAAGGGTTACATAAGCTAAAGAATCGCACTCAACACCTGTTAAGGGGAGCGATTTTTATTATCATATTATACTTTTATTGTCCCGGTCATCAAAGCGTGATCTTTCTAAAATTTACGCAACATTTGTCAAGTTTATACATGTGTTTTCGTCTTTCGCAAGAAAGTTGACCTTAAATGGCTTATTTTGCCACGATGCTAGGCCAGGTATTATCTAAAACAATAAGAAAATAAATAAAAGTTCGAATGTCAGGTGTAAACGTGAACAAATATTACTTCAGCTCAGTATTCTTTTAAGGTTGGGGCGAATGGGTGCCTTGAGAAAAATTGCTCTAAAAAGTTTCTCCCCGTCAGTTTCAGTCTGATAACTTTTTGGGTTGTTTGATTGACAACATATTCCTGAAGAGAAACCTACGTTAAGAATTTATTCACATAATATATGTGTTATTAATTGGAATTCTTGCCCTTACTATCAACACTTGTTGAGAGGAGTGATATGTACTTAGTATTATATATCTTAGTATATTATATTATCGTATAATCGTCCCGACGGTCGTCTAAGCTGGGTTTTCCGAAGAAAATGTACGTCGATCTCGCACTATTTTTCAATTCTATAATATCTTATTTGTTTTTGTCTTTCTGGCTCACGGAGAATTTACTTCGAATAACTTAATTACGACAATAATAGAGTATGAACAATCTAAGACAGAGAGATTAAATTTTTCTTAAATTTTCGGTATAAACGTGAACAAATATTACTTCAGTTCCGTTTTTCTGTGTGACTGTATCTGAGATCCAGCGTCTAGGAACACTTGCTTGGCCAATGTTTTCACTTTTTTCTCCTTCATTGAAATTTTGCACTCTTTTAAACCCCGCTCGATCAGACGTCTGACATCCTGAATATCTGGAAATTTCTGAAAATATAATTAGGTTTAGGATTTATGCTATTAGTGGTAAATAAGCAGGATTTCATTTTACAATATTTAATTTCCAGCCAGATTAAACGGGTTTAATGGGTTAGGAAACCTGTCGTGCGTTGAGTCTTTCTTCAATATACTGGGATAAGACTGGAATGCCACAGTTAACTTTCACGTTGAAGTAGTAATGACAGTTTAGGTCACCTTGAACCTCTTCTAACTTTTGTAAAACCTTCCTATGTTTCTTCTTCAACTTTGCCTCCTGAAAACGTTGCCGGTTATTTAAATTAAATAATATAGGCTCAGTTGAACTATTTTGGGGGTGAAGAAAGTGAAAGCATTCTGGTTTCAGCACTGCACCTTGGTTCAAACACTATCAATTTTTAACATGCCATATAATATAGTGCGAAATTTGCTAATTTTCAGTATGTGAATTGTGATCGGTCCAACGGTCAATCCACGTGTTATGACATAACATCACGTATTAAACAATCATAACATGCAAACCTGTAGGTATAGATTACCCCACTTGTCCATCTCTTCACAATCAATATCAGCCTCCTGGACAGCCTTGATCCGTCTGGCTAACCGGACTAGTTTCCGGCTCAGTTTCTCCACTTGTGCTACTTTCTGCTTGTACTCCTCCGACTCTTCGTCCACTTCCGGGTCAGGGTCATCTTGAAATATTTTGCTAGTCTCTCTTCAATCAATATTTAATTAATTTATTCAGCGCATTTAATTAATGTTTATATACATACTTGGAGATGTAGAGATAAGAAGAGAGAGCGACGCTGATTATAATTGTTCCTTAAATACTAACACATATATTTAGAGATAAAATCATCAAAAGCATCTCACCTTCGCTCTCAGATTCCTTGTTCGGCTCACTATCGTCAGAGTCGCTAACCACGGTAATACGTGAGCTGCTAGGCTGTGCATCCATCTTAAAACAGGCTGGTATCTTAAATCCAGTCACTGCAGGTCCTGCAGGTTTCAAACTAACTCTCTTTTTCTCTGGCTCTTTGCTTTTATCCGGTTGGGGAGGGTTTAGAGATTGTACTGATAGCCTTTTAGGTTGTTCAGTATTTAGAGATTGTAATGATATCCTTTTAGGTTGTTCAGGATTAAGAGATTGTAATGATATCCTTTTAGGTTGTTCAGTATTTAGAGATTGTAATGAAAGCCTTTTAGGTTGTTCAGGATTTAGAGATTGTAAATATGATATCCTTTTGGGTGGTTTAGGGAAGAAGATATTACTAACTGGATCAGTTGTTTTTGTTTTGTTTTCATCTTGTTTCATATCAGAAGGGGTTTCAGAAGGAGTTTCAGAAGGGGTTTCAGAAGGGGTTTCACATGGCATCACGTAATCTGGTCTCAAGGTAACTTCACGGGACTTGTTTTGAAGTGGACCAAGTTTAATCTCCACGTATTGCACATTCCCGGGTTTCACTGAGGTAATCATGCAGTCACGTGATGTCTCCTTAATAAACTCAATGCTTTTCTGGGATAACGAAATAGGAGTGTGCCGCTCGGGTCGTTCGTCACTCTCCATCTCGTAATTTGAGATATCCTCCTTTTCGACGAGACTCTGACTGGAGGGTATAGTCAAGTCATTAGGACCGACTTCAGCACGTTCGTCCGTTTTTTGTTTTGCGGGGTTTGTATTTTGACCAACAACAAAAATAACAGAGTCAGATGATTCTTCTCCAGCTTCCATACGCGATTCTTCAGTAGAAGTAGACACTTCGACATCATTAATGATAGTCAATGATTCGCCGCAATCAGGTTCGCTGTTAATTAGACCAACAATTTCTTCTCTTTGATCTTCAACAGGAGGATCAATAATTTCTAACGAACCAGACACTGGAGTAGTTACGACCGTGTTCTGTTTTGTTGGGTTCGAATTCTGACCAACGATGAAAATGACGGGGTCTGATGATTCTTCTTCAACTTCCCTCCTTGTTTCATCTTCAGAAGTAGACGCACCGGCTATAGTCAAGGATTCGCCACAATCAGTTTCCTTGTTGATAGGACTGACAACTGTATCTCCTTGATCGCCCTCATTTGGTTCAATTATCTCTAAAGAGTCAGACGTTGATGATTTGTGTCTCCTCTGTTTGATCTCCTGTTTCATTTCGGACAATTCACAAGAAACGTTTTCAGGAGCTGGCAGATTCTCGACAGCTTCCTCTGGTGGCGATGTTTCAGTCCCCAGCTCATGCATGTTATCATTGAAAATTCTAACGGAATCCGATGTCGAACTCTTATCGCTGGAAGAATTGTCGGACTCTATCTCTGTAGCAGAGAGCAGTTCGGATGAGGTTGGGATATTTTGCTGAGTTTCAAGAGTTGCGATTATACAGGAGTATTTTAATAAGTCATCTCTGTTCAGAACATTTGTACTCAAGCTATTCCTTTCTTCCTCAGTATTCTCCTCATCGTGATCTTCTGTTTCTTCGCATTTTCCGGAATCTTTCTCCCTTTCAGTTTTATCTGATTTTCCTTCAGAAGAATTTTCTATATTATCGGGATCAATTTCCTCCGCTTCTTCGGTGGTTGCATTCTTTTCCACTTTCCGTATTTTGTTCACTTTCATCTTCGTTCTTTTTATTAGAGGCAATAATAGTGATATCTCCAATATTCCCAACACTCTCCGGAGAAGTTTCTTGAGCACACTTCGAAGGATCCATTTGTTTGCTTCCAACTTCACCGTAATCAGTGTCAGAAAGATCATTTGAGTCGCAGCCAGATTTAGAATTCTCGCTCTGATCGGTGGCGTCTATGTTTGTGGGGAAAGGAATTAAATCCTGGTCGATAAGAGGCGAGGACAAGTTGCTTGAAGACTTGGCTGCCGATGGAGAGGTCGCTTTCTCGTCACGTGGTATCGATATAGATGTCCTGGAACTGAAATAATACGATATTTAGTGAAATAGAGAAATTGACTTTTTATCGACCCCAAGTTTTCCGCCCGACAGAATTGTAGCCATGTTATTGATATTTTGATAACAATTGTGCAATGTTATTAAACGAACTGGTACTACCATTTAACGTTTGTTATATGTTATACAATAGCGTTATGATCTTATGTTCAAACAATATCGTTACATGTAATACGATACAGCTAATTATACTTATTAGTCACACGAAAAGCCTCACAAGACCACTGTATGGTTATCACGGTGAAGTGACGAGGCTTTATTTAGCGCTATATAGAGAGTAAGAATTCTTATAATAGTATGTCAGGATGGCCGAGTGGTCTAAGGCGCCAGACTCAAGAGTAATCTTGCATTCGTACGAATGAGCATTCTGGTCCACGAATGTGGGCGTGGGTTCAAATCCCACTTCTGACACTTTTGCTGCACTGGTTAAGCACTCAAATTAAGTTAATCTGGAAATTTCAATACTTTCTGGGTGGAACCTCTTGTGGGTAATTTATAATTACAAATTATAATTACAATTATAATTACTAATTATCCCTGACAACAAGGAGCCTGTTGATGTCGTACAGACTTTTAGGATGCACAAATTTTAAAATTTTTGTTATAACATAATATTATAATAATACATATAATATAAGTATTCATTCCATATTGTAAAAAATGTTCAAGAACTTACATAAAAATTAAAACTGACTAGATTTCAGGATCTTGGTTTGGTTTGGTTGATTCGTTTCATACGTTTAGTCAAGAGCCGACGTTTCGAACACTTAAATTTGGGTACAGTTCTTTTTTAAATATTATTATATAATTATCAATCATGAAGACCATCGACACTGTCCGCGCAACCATAACAACGACATGCTAATTGGACAGCTACAAAGGAATGCCAATTGAGCACTGAGCTGCAATAGTTAATTAAGTCACAGAAATGTGGCATTTTTAACATTATAGGGGGGGGGGGGGTGACATGTCTCCAATGTCTCCAATGTCTTTTGTCTTTTTTGAAAAGATAGGGTGCAGAGACAAGTCCTGGAGACATTGGAGACATTGGAGACACAGCTTTTGGAGACATTGGAGACATTGGAGACATTGGAGACAAAGCTTTTGGAGACATTGGAGACACTGGAGACGTAGATGTATGATTGGAGAAGGAGGAGGATCTAGGAGGAGGATGACCCAGGAGGAGGACTCAGGAGGAGAAGGAGGAGGATGAGGACTCAGGAAGAGGACTGAGGAGGACTGAGAAGGAGGAGGACTGAGGAGTACTGAGGAGGATGGCTGAGGAGGATGGCTGAGGAGGATGACTGAGAGGGAGGAGGAGGAGGAGGAAGAGGAAAAGGACTGAGGAGGAGGAGTAGGACTGAGGAGGAGAAGGAGGAGGACCTAGGAGGAGGACCCAGAAGGAGGACTCAGAAGGAGGAGGAGGAGAACTCAGGAAAAGGACTGAGAAGGAGGAGGACTCAGGAGTACTGAAGAGGATGACTGAGGAGGAGGAGGAGGAGGAGAAGGACTGAGGAGGAGAAGGAGAAGGTGGAGGAACTAGGAGGAGGATGAACCAGGAGGAGGACTCAGGAGGAAGAGGAGGAGGACTCAGGAGGAGGACTGAGAAGGAGGAGGACTGAGGAGAACTGAGGAGGAGGAGGATGAGGACTGAATAGGGGGGGGGACTGGGGGAGGACTGAGGAGGAGGGGGACTTGGGGAGGACTGAGGAGGAGGAGGAAGACTGACGAGAAAGATGAGGAGGAGGACTGAGGAGGAGGACTGATGATTGAGGAGGAAGAGGAGGAGGATGAAGAGGAGTAGGAGGACTCAGGAGGAGGAGGACTCAGGAGGAGGAGGACTCAGGAGGAGGAGGACTCAGGAGGAGGAGGAGAACGACTGAGGAGGACTGAGGAGGAAGAGGAGGAGGAGGAGGAGGAGGAGGAGGAGGAGGAGGAGGAGGCTGTGTCTCCAATGTCTCCAAAAGCTGTGTCTCTAATGTCCCCAATGTCCCAAATGTCCCCAATGTCTCCAATGTCTCCAAAAGCTGTGTCTCCAATGTCTCCAAAAGCTATGTCTCTAATGTCCCCAATGTCCCAAATGTCCCAAATGTCCCAAATGTCTCCAATGTCTCCAAAAGCTGTGTCTCCAATGTCTCCAATGTCTCCAATGTCTTTGTCTTTTTCGAAAAGATAAGGTGCGGGAGACATTGGAGACATGCCATTATAGTGCCTGACAACAATACATTTTATTTTGAGCAGTGCATTAGGGGGTATGTATATGGGTCACGTGGCTAATAGCCGGTACGTCTACGTCTGAGCATGCTCGGTTAATAGCTATACCAAAACTATGCCTGTAATGTCGAAAACGTTATTTTTTGTGTGTACCAATATGTTCGACTTCAAATGAACATGTCCAATGTCCATATACTTTTGAGGCGACATACTGCGTTTAAAGATACTTTTCAGCAGGATTACTGTAACTAAGACTTGGGCCAATGTTTAAACTTGGGCCAATGTTTAAACTTGGGCCGAAGTTACATCCTGGTTACGGTTACGATTCTCCAAAAACAATTCATATGAACATAACATTATTATGATGTAATGTATCTAATATTCCCATTGTTAAGAACGATTATAAAGTCGAGGAATAGTAAACAACGGCATTCAACATGGCGCTCCAGGGTACCTCGTCATAATCGACAATTACCCTCAATCTCATGCTCAAACAATGAAAATATGGAAATAAGCTCCGACTCTCATGCGCCTAGCACTAATTGCTGTGGAGAAATTATAAAAATAATAGGCCTGATCATCTCCTCTTCACATACCTGGACCAGTCAATCTCGTAATAGAACTCTCGTAATAGAACTCTCGTACTATAACTCTCGTAATATAACTCTCGTACTATAACTCTCAAGCTTAGTTTTATTTTCGTTACTCACACATACAGACATTTTGGAGACAGTATTTTCCTAAAGGGATAAGTATCAGTCGAATCTGTTAAATAAATCACACGAATCCGGGCCTCATGTGACTTTTTCATTACTTTTTCATTATATTCGATTAGTGGTAATCTTTCTTCGCTCTTATGAGTGGGTCGATCATATAGTTTAATAGTTGGTGACGAAGTGTGAGTCTCCACTCAGTGTTTTAAAACAATTAGTTGTCGACGTTTCGGCAACATGCCTTTGTCATATGAAACAAGCGCGTCACGGTCCATTGCGTGGTTAGATAAATTGATATATTATAATATATGTATAATTATATTGTTTTGTTGATATGTCGTGTAAGTCTGTGGAGTAGTAGCAAGAAGGTATCGTATACATTTTAATTTGTTCTCTTGATTATTTATTAATGATTCAAATTCTGTATTTTATGTAGGGTCGGCACCAATGTAATTATGGTTTTACCACCGTGTTTTGGTTCAGCCGAAATTAATTTTACTATGATGTTTACATAATGTTTCTCACTCCAGCTGCAGTCTGGTAGTGTTGAGTCTCAGGAATATTTTTCTAGCTATCATTTTCCATGTTTTTGCCTCACAGGAGATATTGTGGTCTTTTCTAAATAAAACTGTAATGCATTTGTAACTGTAAAGTTTATCTGAATTTTGAAATAATAGACAGGACCACAGGACGTTACAATAACTTACATTGCCGAAACGTCGATAACTAATTGTTTTGAAACACTGAGCGGAGACTCTCACTTCCTCACTTAGGTTAAAATATAGTAGCGCCAGATCATATGACTTTTCCGTAGGTTTATTGTGAGTTCGTTATATTTGTTTAGTATATATGTTGATAATAGAGTATAAGAGTAACGCAGACAAAAGTCGTGCGATTAAGTTTGCCTCTCTTATTTGCCACTGATGAATAAACGTGCAAAACGGGCATCATTTACATCATGTCGGAATTATTCTATATCTTTAATTGTACCATGAAACTACTTGTTTGTTATTATCATCAAATTTCAGATAGGATGGATAACTCATCCGCTCGGATTACAACAAGTTGGAGTACAACAATTTCTGGATTCAACCCCGCTGTAGATGTGACCTACGGGTTCATCGTATGTCTGTGTTTCCTAATCGGAACAGTGGGCAACATGGCCAGCTTCCTCTACTTCAAGGCACAGAAAAAAGACATTTCAAATTTTATCTATATGCTGATAACAGCCAACGACATACTGATCAGCATTACAGTACTACCTGTAGGAATATCTCTTTGGTCAAGAAGACGGCCAGGTATTTTGTTTGGTAGCGAGATTGGTTGCGCGGCTTGGTGTTACGTGTGGAAGATAGGAGTTGATCTCAGTATATTCTTCGTGGTCTGCCTAGGAATAATGAGGACAACCGCACTGCTGAGACCTTTTAAACAGCAACAAAGAAAATATCTGATAATGGCAGTAATAACGTACTTAGCGATACGATTAACTATAGCAATAGTAATTCATATCAAACAAGAGGGTATGAGAGTAGTATTCAACCCCGTTTTTACACGCTGCGTTTTCAATACACCTATCACATACAACAGCACTCTTCTTCTTATATGGAATATCAGTGATTTCCTGTTCCACATAACTCCTCCAATCGTTGTCGCAACAAGTTGTGTAATATCAGCTGTGTTGCTGTTAAGAACCAATCAGCAAGTACGACAGACGGAGCTACAAAAGTCAAGAAACAGAGCAACATTAACCATTTTACTGTTCGCTCTGCTCTATGGAGTGTGTAATGTCCCTGGTGCTGTTGTATTGGTGTTAGCAACATACGCTCATCACAGTGATAATAAGGAATGGCTCGTGAATTTGAGCAGTTTTGATAAACAACAATACTTCATGTTTGCGATTTGTACTCTGCTGCTAGCAGCTAACTCTGCAGCTAACCCGATCCTTTATTTTTGGAGAATGCCTGGGTTGAGAGATTTTATCAGAGGGACTTCGAGACTAAACAGAGTAATAAGGAGGCGTCCGAACAATGCTAATCAGCTTGAGTGGGGGCGTGAGATCAGAGATGCCGGAATCAATGACAATCGATATTTACAAAGAGCTGCGACAATACTAGACCACTTATACAACTGTAGAAGAAACATTTTTGTAACAGAAGCTAACAAAATAAATAAATACTTGAAAGCATTGACCTGATGTGACAAGCTTTTTGAGATGGGTATTATTTATCAGATGTTCATAGCATTGATTTATTATTATTGAAAATATTACCTATCAATACCAATTAATTATTGTCTACTATATATTTTACTAAGTTTTGGATTGTTTTTGTCTAAACAGAGTTCCTTCGTATTCATATCTTCATAAATTCCATTTAGGTATTTATGAAGATATTAAAGCGTTATATTTTTATACATTCAATGTTCGTACTATTTCTTTTTCAAAGTAAGTTTTAAGTATTTACGTGATTCAGCGATTACGTGATTTTATGAGCCTATTATTCCAAGTTTTCGATCACAGACCCTCTTTTGCCGACACAGAATTCATAAAACGGAGCATGATAATTTCAATTTGGTATTTTATGGGAAACTATCACTGCCTTAGATAGAAAATTAAAGATCACTAAAATCGAAATCTACCTGGACTCACTAAGGTTCTCAGAAACCAAATCAATGACCACAGTGCTTGTCCCCAGAGACGATTCCTTGACGACTGGGCTGGTTCCCCGGGACGTTTCCTTGACGACGGGGCTGGTTCCCCGGGACGTTTCCTTGACGACGGGGCTGGTTCCCCGGGACGTTTCCTTGACGACGGGGCTGGTTCCCCGGGATGTTTCCTTAGAGGGTGCTGTAATCTTCGATTTTATGAATAATTCCATGCAGTCCCCAAGACAACACAGAATCCTTGCAGCGTAGGACTTTTTGTTCAATGTCAACTCGTTTTCTGTGAGCTCAACCTTCTTTATTCTGTCCAGAGCAGTTCGTTTTACTCCGTGCAGTGCACTGAAAAAGGAGTAGATATTGGTCACCAGTGCAGAGATACGAGACATTATCATTTAAAACAAAAGAATTAATCCTAGCATTAAATAGTTATAACTCTGACGCTGCCAAACGTTTGCGCAGGTTCAGTTCGCTCCTAAGTTCAGTTTGCAAAGCAAACCTGCACAAAAGTTCAAAACAGTGACCCAAGTTATTATTAAACGAATTCGTAGTTCTAACCTTCGGAATTTCTGTTGAAATAGTTTAATCATCTTTACTTTAGTCTCAGGCAGCACTTTCGTCAGCAACCGTATGAAAATAGCGAACATGACATACTCTGACAAGTGGTAGGGTACAATCTGGTAGTGAGCAGAGAACCAGTCCCCAGGTTTGATCTCCACTGGGTTTATATCCATGAAATATTTCATCATTAGCAGCCTCCGGAGGTGGTAGAGCAGCGACAAGGGTGACTGAACATTCAGCAACATTGAACAGTACGTGTTTACGGAAGCTAGAGAAACATTCTTCTTGTCCAGGTGTAGTGAGAGAATGTGGTTGATAAATATCCTCATAACCTCCTGCACATCGGCCTCATCAGAAAATTTTGTTTGGATTGAGGTGAGGTTATCTACAATCTTTTCGAAGTGACTAGAGTTATCCTGTGAAGGAGTGAGTGGTGAACTTGAGCTCCTTTCTGAGACTGAAGGAATATTCGAGATAATCTGCGCGGGTATTACATTGCAGGCAGTCTGGAGCTGAGGTCTTGAGTGAGTAGCGTGAGAAGCACTAGAATTAGAGGAACCTTGCCGTACGAGCATTACGGGAGGGAGCATTCCGGGAGGGAGCATTCCGGGAGGGAGGCTGACTGCAGGGAGGCTGTATTTCGTCATTTCCTCAATTATCTCCGCTCGGGAAGGATCTAACCTCCGCCCCTCAAAATCCAAATCAATGACCACTGGGCTTGTCTTCCTGGACGTTTCCATAACGACTGTGCTGGCTCCCCGGGAGGGTGCCGATTTATGGGAGGGAGGCTGTCTGTAGGGAGGCTGTATTATTGTATGCCCTTCCTCAATTATCTCAGCTCGGGGAGGGTCTAACCTCCGCCTCTTCTGCGGACGCTCACTCTGCAGACGCTGACTCGCAGCATTTGTCTCGGACACCATGTCATGCGCAAACCCTTTGAGTCTTCTAACTACGTTCTCTTGGTTGAGACCTCGTGTGCAGTTTTCAATGTGCTGTTTGAACTTGGAACTAAGGAGGTAACTGTTGGGGCACGTGTGTTTAACTGCGTCAAGATTAGCAAAGAATTGACTGAAGAGTGCGCTCCTAGGAACAAGTTGTCGGACATCTTCAACCATTGAGATGTAGAGTGAGTGGTTGTCAGGTTCCTCGTCGGAGTCGAGGTTCACAACTTCGACCATTGCTACAAGATATTGTTATATTGAGTAAAGCTGAAGTAGGTTTGATGTCGGCCCCCAGAGGGCTGGATCGCAAGATCCTTTTACAAGATATGATTAATATTAGGTAGTCAAGAATTAAGATCGTATATTTTTTGACAGCTAGATGTGTTTTTGGAATCATACTATACTTTGAGATCCTTGAGAAATCGAAAGGGAAGTATGAATATTGTTTAACATTATATTATAGCAGATTCTGCTGGTTTTGGGTAATGCAAGTTAATGAAGATGTAGGGTTAACGTAATAAATCAATTTTCATTACCATAATTCAAAATTTATACATGCAATTCAAGTTTAGTGAAACATAAAACATTCCCTCAAATCTATTCATTTTAATATTAACTGTGGTTAAAATTCTCTCTTGACCTAAAACTCATACTGACTAATATAAGGAAGCAATTATTTACTAACACACGGGCAGAGGCTGAAATGTTTAGCAAAACTTGTCTCAAATTGAATAACGTTCGAACAATGAAGCAGTGGACATCAGATCTACTATATATATTGTTAACTCGTCATGATTATATCATTATATAACCCAAATGTACAACAATTGAAAGCAAGCAATATATTTTACTACATAATTTTAGAACTCCACTGTCTACAAAGTCTCTAAAGTAATAGACGAAGAAGGTCAAAAAGGGGCTGATCAGATAAGTTACATTGAGCTTTACCTTAACGGTTAGACAACAAAGCTGAGGAAAATTCGTCAAAAAGCTTCTCCTTCTCCTGAAGCCTCAAAACATACGGATGATCAGGATGTGAATCCTTAACTTGGGAAATGTATCGTTTAGCAGAGTCTTTAGCTCCCAAAAACTGTGAAACTATCGACAGGTTGATCAAAGTTTCCGGATGACCGCTATCCTTATCCAAAGCCTTTTGTAACACATCCTCCGCTTGTTCAGACTTACCTTGCAGCAAGAAACAGACTGCCTGACCGTTGAGAAGTATTGGGGTGGGCCCAAACTTATCTGCAAGCTCTTGATACACGTAGTATGCTGTCTGTATGCTCTTTGTGTCTGCCATTGCGATATTGAGGGCAGCGAGAGAAAGCTGGGATACTGTCGTGTCCTCATCAATCTCCTGCATTTTCTTCACCTCTTTAGTGGCGATATCCACTCGGTTCATCTGAAGCAGGGTCTGGACTGCTAGAGCGTGACATTCCAGCGAAGAGGCGGAATTTGTGACACGGAGAGTTGACTCAAAGTCTCCAGCTAGCAGATAAACGTTGGCACACAAAAGGGCGACGACATTCGGGCAAAGACTTGCTGCTCCTTCGTTCAACACGTTTCCTACCTGAGGGATAAGAGTCATGTTAGTACTGTAGGAAAACGTACTTTGTTAGGAGTTAACAGATGCTGTGATGCAATAAATTGGCAATATGCACAGTGCATAGGTAAGGTTGAAGGGCAGCCAATCTGCAGTTATCAATATCTTGAAATAAGAGTAGTAATAATTGAATCCCCTGCTTGCATTTGTATGTGTCACAACATCCTTCAGATAACTTACAAAACAAATGGAAGCATTTATTGCGTGCATGATAAAATAAGCCATGAACCTAAAAAGTTCTGAAACATTACGGCATCATATGCCAATAGATATACAACGGGGATTGAAAGGGGTGAGAATGATCAAACTAACCTCTGAAATAACAGCGTCTTTGTTACTAGGATTCTGCATGATCTTAGCAAGAAGTACCAGCGCTAGAAACTCTGGTCCGGACCTTGTCTCCACCTCTCCCAACACCAAGTTATATTTACCTGCAAGGACAAACTCTAGTTTCCTGAATCAAAAATGTAAACAAACAGATCATTATCAGTGTTGCCAGCATGTGTAAGGTTTCTATTTCAATTATAACGGGCTAAAAGTGATGCTAGCAACATTGATAAGTATTCTATGTTAGATCACAGTGATTTCTCTCCAAAATTAATAAAAACTAGGTATATAACAAATGTAAGTAGGTTTCAGGTTACAATAAAGACATTCGTGTCCAACTAACTATCACATCAACGCTAATAAAACACAACTTATTAACTATTTGTGGCAGCAGTTATTGTGCGAGAGATGTAACCAAAAACTAAAACAAGACCAGTAGCAAACTAACCTTCAGCCAGATAGGCTCTGTACATCAAGATATCACATTCCAGGTCCAAGGGTTGGTCCCCAACTTGCAACTTCTGGGCTTCCTTTACGCACTGTCTGTAATTACCTATGTAGAACGAGGTCTTCACCATAAAAAGAGGGTCCGACATTGCTTGAACCTAGAATGATGAGAATTATGTAATGTGTAATCAATGTTCTACCGCATATGTTTTGTTCAAATAACGAATTGGCATGATTACTGTCTAATTAGTACATGGTAACTTCACATTTGATCGGCGGTACATCAAGCTCTGCACACGTACTCGTCGACCAGTTTAACTTTCTTATTGCTAGTTTCCGATGCATAAATAGGGTACTTTCATAGCACGCAGGTAGGAAAATAGTGTACTTTTTGGCGCGCGTTTACTAGAGTGAAAACTGCCACGACCAACCCTTCCAGTTTGTTGATGTTCTATGATGCCCAAGTTTAATCTAACCGATACATTCTACATAAAAATATTCATATTCTTACCAAAATAAATCATGGAAATAGTAATGCCAGTAAAATCTAAGGAACCATTAAAAATGCAGAGTCGTTTATAAATTTAGTATTACAAAAAGGAATCACTGCAGAGATAGCAGTAAATCCATAAATCACTGCTATGTTTATCGATAAAAGGGCACACAAAACAGTTTACCATCAAATAAACTTCAAAAACCACGAATATAATCATTATCATACTAATGAGAATAATTTAATCGAGTAGGGGTGGTCGATCTTTAGAATAAAAATTGCCGATATGAATAACGACTTTTAAACTAGAAATTTCGTCTCTCAACTCGAACATTTCATTAAAAGTCTTTGTATGTAACATATCGTACAATGGTTTTAGAGTCGTTACGTTTTGTATAGATAAAATGATAGCATACAATACTATAATAATGATAACAAATCCTCGGGGTAATCCTTTGCGATTACGTCAATATTTTCGTGTATCTACAGCTAGCACAAGATTCAATTTTAGCGGTTAAACACGAACTTTTTAAAAATTCAAATCATCAAAATATCGTAAATTCTTAACGTATCCTAACTATATAGCGAGGTTATGATACTGCGTAAGAAATGTGCCTTGTCAATTTTATGTTATCAAACAAAACTATCTAGTGTTAAAAGCGGCAAACCAGTTTGGAAGTTTTATTTCATATTAATCTCATTATCATATCTAATCTCTCAAGCACCGCGAATCTAATCGAAATAACTTTTGGCAGAAACAACAGTTTCTACGAGTCCAATTCTTAACAATCTAAGAATCAAAAATGGTTGACCTCGGCGTACAAAACGATATAACAATACCACAGCACCAATATGCCAGCCATACAAAACATGCCAGGTATTCAAGATTTGCTCTCGGAAAAGCGTCGATCAGTTTGGCGCAATGTCCAATGTCGACACAATGTTTAAAGTAATATAGTCGATTACAAAACCTTGGTTGGCCCTCGCCCGTCCTCTTGGTGTCGCTACAAAACACACTCCATCCTAGCGAGTCGTATAAATCCTCACGACTCTCTCATGGTAGCCTAAAACTGAGCAGGCGCTCGCAGCCCCGTACCGCTTTAAATCATAGTTTAAAGTTCTTGGCAGCAGCCTGACCCAACACATTACTAGCCCAGCCCTCCACATCCACCTGCCTACTCTCACTCTCCAGAATAAAGGGGTGCGTGAGCAACTCGCGGTACTTGGGCCGCGCATCAACGTCCTTAATCAAACACTTCACCACAAAATCTCTGAAGTTATCGGAGAAGTCGCCAGTCTCTGGTAGGGAGGGGGGTCTGCCTTCCACCACGCTTGTCAGCTGATCAAAGACACTGTTCCAGGGGGGAAATGGGAACTTTCCCGTTGCTAACTCTATCACGGATATCCCTAATGACCAAACATCTGATCTTACGTCAAACCCGTCCCGACCTGGTAATGTGGTCACATTTATAACGGGCGGAATGTATAGTTTTGTCAGAAGAAGGTAGCGCCAATTATCAAAATACGAATATCAAATATATTTGACTACTTCCTTTACTTGTTATGTTACAGGAGAGGATTCAATTCAACACAAACATTATCGACAATATAATCTAAGTTCTTCCCTTATTGCATTATATTTCTTATATTACAGAAAACACAAAAGTTATATTAGGAAAACACGAAAGTTATATTAGGAAAACACGAAAGTTATATTACAGAAAACACAAAAGTTATATTAGGAAAACACGAAAGTTAAACTCACCAGGAGCAGGGTCAATGCGTTCAGGAGCCATGTAGGGTTTACACCCGACCTCCCTGGTGGCAGCTATACTGTTAACTAGCTCCCCACTTATACCAAAATCACACATCTTGATACAACCAGCACTGTTTATCAAGATATTACTTGGCTTTACGTCACGGTGAATGATGTTCAGCTGCGAAATTGTAGGTTAAATGTTAGTGTTAGTGTTAGTAAAAAAAAATTAATGTACACAAATTTTGCCTCAGATATATGTTTTTTACGTTTTGAATTTTTTACACTTGTTTTTAGATCATGAATACGATGTAGTTACATTGAAACGTCGAGTAAACTCCTTTCCCTAATAGAGCATTTTCACTTGTCGCAACAACCGGGATAAAGATAATTTTACACAGAATACGTTAGTGTTAGTGTTAGTGTTAGTGGTGGTGTTAGGTACCGCGACAGTTGACCCCCCGACAATTGACCCCCGACAATTGACCCCCTATGTAATTACACTGGGGTCAATTGTCGCGAAATCTAGGGTTTAGTACGACAATTGACCCCCGACAATTGACCCCCGACAATTAACCCCCCGACAATTGACCCCCCGACAATTGACCCTCTATGTAATTACACTGGGGTCAATTGTCGCGAAATCTAGGGCTTAGTACGACAATTGACCCCCCGACAATTGACCCCCCGACAATTGACCCCCCGACAATTGACCCCCCGACAATTGACCCCCGACAATTGTAATTAAACTGGGGTAAATTAATCGGGTTAGGGTTAGACTTAGGGTTAGGGTTAGGGTTAAGGTTAGGGTTAGGGTTAGGGTTAGGGTTAGGGTTGGGGTTAGGGTTAGGGTTAGGGTTGGGGTTAGGGTTAGGGTCAGGGACAGCTGTTCCTGGGTCAGGGTCATGGGTCAGGGTCAGGGTCAGGGTCAGGGTCAGGGTCAGGGTCAGGGTCAGGGTCAGGGTCAGGGTCAGGGTCAGGGTTAATTGTATTAAATTATATTTTCGGGGGTCAATTGTCGGGGGGTCAATTGTCGGGGGGTTAATTGTCGGGGGGTCAATTGTCGGGGGGTCAATTGTCGGGGGGTCAATTGTCGGGGGGTCAATTGTCGGGGGGTCAATTGTCGGGGGGTCAATTGTCGGGGGGTCAATTGTCGGGGGGTCAATTGTCGGGGGGTCAATTGTCGGGGGGTCAATTGTCGGGGGGTCAATTGTCGGGGGGTCAATTGTCGGGGGGTCAATTGTCGGGGGGTCAATTGTCGCCCACCCGTGGTGTTAGTGTTAGTGTTATTTTAGGTGGTGGTGATAGTGTCAAAGTGTTTCATTACATTGCTTTTCTATAATCTATATTTTAATATTTTACTCCCCTTTACTTCTTCTCAATAAGATTACCAAGTTAACATCATAATACACCTCATGTTATTTTCCTGTTTACACAATTTTTTGTTTACATTATGTGTGAATTGTAATTATCTCATCATTACTTTACTTTTCCCCAAGTGTAACAAGTCCTTAATGACCGTAACAATTATCTGCCAGTCAAACTAGTAAAATCATTTCTCACTAATGCGAGTGTATACTCAGCTCAAGATATTTAAGTGCTCTAATTTTCGTCATTGACTAAGTAACATGATATTTACAAAACACAGCATTCAGCAAGGATAAAGTAATCATTATTTAAGTAAACCACCGCGCATTCCCATAACATTCACCCAAACATTAATACATCACAAGTCCACTCAAATTTACCGGTGGTCACGGTTCAAAACTACCGGTTCAGTACTGAGTGCTTGTTAAGCTGTTATCTCATGCTGTTGTAATGAAAACACGGAACAGTATTGATTCAAACATGCTCGAACATGCCAAATGCTTGTACTTGTCAGATATCACTCTGTCAAAGAGTAACTCTACAAACAACTGCTGTTTGTAGTTATCAAGATACCGCGCAAAGAACAAGAACAGCATATTTTACGAATATATCTAACTGCTTTTAATAATCATGATAATAAGCATAGTTTAGGGTTTATTGGTAAGTCCTATCGGTTAAATCTCCTGACAATTTGCTCATCTTAGCCGAAAATTTGCGCATCGTATCCAAACAGGGAAAGCGGAAAGTTAAACGTCAGAGAATCTTAGAACGGAAATTGTTTGAGCACACCGACATACAGACACAAACTAAAAGGGGGGCGTGTAGTACAACAGGTAGCTTACAAAAACTCTCAAAAACAAGCCACCCTTTCATGGAGTGTTGGTGTAAACAAATTCGTGATTAATTTGTGAGTTTAAAAACAAACATTTCATGTAAGGAGAGCAGAGAGAGAGCATGAGATATATAAAGTTTTAATGTTTGACTGTAATAATTTCACAATTATGAAGAAAACGCCTGTATGTGTTTAACAGTTAACAGTTACAGTTGCCGTCAACTGTTGTGTCTTGGTTGCACTGTTAAGGAATCGTAGCCTTATGAAAAAGCTCCAGACACAAACATATAAAATGTTCTTTACTTCTGCATCTGAGTTCTAGGTATGATAAAAGCAATAACATTACCCTTGGTGTGATTATATAACAATAGTAATGAATTTAAGTTTAATAAGACCACTTTTAAGATAAAACTTATACTCAGCAGTGCAAGTGTTTAATCTAAACATCCCAGAAAAGTGCTTGAATAAGATAAGGACTGGTAACGTATGCTTGAAAATATATAATATATATATATAAGTCTAATGACAGAAAATGAAACTAATTTTTAAAAATCGACACCAATATTGACCTAAATAAATTATCGCTAAAGTTTTTCAAGTTCATGAAGGGGCAGTTTAAACAGAAAAGTTATTGGAAGATCTTTAAATGATTCCAGTGATTGAGCCGATAAAATGGTATCAGATTGTAGATCTTTGGAGCGACCACAGAGAATATATATATAATAGCCTTAGCGATTGTAACACATACTGTTTAGTATTGGGCGTGTGTTTTTACTGTGTAGTGCGTAATGCGTATACTGTACACCCCCTGTGTTGTGTGTATACACTATACTGTATATTGTACTGAAGGTGTTTTGTTTCTAAGACTAATTTCAGCTATTTATAAAGTACACTTTTAATGAGGTAAACGTTCTTAAAGATAAGAGATTGAAAACTACTGCTGCCAAACTAGCTTCTTCCACAGAAACTGTGATCAGAATTTGAATTATTCACATGGTTGATTCTTTGATAAACACTAGACTCATTATATTTCCTATTCTTAAGAATTTGGCGGTTATTGGAGTAATGAAGTGAATGATTTGATCAAATTAATTTGTGTAAGAACATATTGGGTCGGATTTATAACTGACCATGATAGTGTGGTGACTGTGTTAATGGTGATTGGTGAGTTATTTTCTCAAGATCAGCAACTGAAGGTTACCCCGTTAATCGAGTGAGAATGGCAACTACTAAACTAATAAAGAACCCTATAATAAATGTCATTGAAATATAACTTCAGATCAACTTAAAACTCAATAAGATAATAGATATATAACCTATTGAGCAGCTATGATCTCAATAAAACCAATCTGAAACTAACCTCTCTTTTGAGGTAGCTGAGAGCCTGGACAATGGACACCACCATTTTACCGAGCACATCCTCTGGTATCTTTATACTAATCGTCTGGTACACGAACCTATAGAACTTATCCAGGGACGTGTCCATACGTTCCATACATATCCACACCTGGAGGTGGGGAGAGTTAATTACATGCTAATTAACCCTAATTAGGTAATAATTGTTGATTAAAAACAGGGCTGTAACCAGGGATCTTTCTTGGGATTAACCTATAAAGCGAGTTTTAAATTGGTTCATCTTAACCAATCCTCCTGACTACAGACTAAACATAACGTGACTTTAAAGTGAGGTGTAATCACGTGACTTGTCAGGTGTTAATCACGTGACTTGTCAGGTGTTAATCACGTGACTTGTCAGGTGTTCATGACTTTCAGGAGTAAATCACGTGACTTGTCAGGTGTAAATCACGACGCGTGAACTTGTCATTCAGGTGTAAAATCACGTGACTTTCAGTAAACACGGATTGTAGTTAAAATCAAGTGACTTGTCAGGTTTAAATCACGTGACTTGTCAGGTGTAAATCACGTGACTTGTCAGGTGTAAATCACGTGGACTGTCAGGTGTAAATCACGTGACTTTGTCAGTGCAATCAGTGTACTGTCAGGTAAATCACGTGATTTCAGGTGTTCACATTGTAGGTGTAACGTGAAGTCACGTGACTTGTGTCCTTACCTCTCCCTCCCTGAACAGGGCTCCGTAAAACTTCACGATATACGGACACTCTGCCTTCATAATAACAGTAACATCCATCTGGAGAGTCTTCCGTTCCCTGTCGTCAACTGTAACTATCATCCTCTTTACTGCCATCTCAACTCCTGTAACATAATCATTTAACAAGACTGTGTCAGATCATGTCAGAGCTTCAATTACTGCATTATGGAGAAAAACGTATAATCTTAGACATCACAGGCCACAGCATAGCTATTTCAACAGACCACTGGAAATCTCGAGGACATTTACCAATGATGAGATATATTTTCGATCAACGTAAATAACCATCCCCTCCCCAATGAAAAGAAATAGATAGTGCTGAGTAAAATTACCTGAAGGTTTATGTTTCATCCGGTGAACAGAACCGAACCTTCCTCTGCCTATCTCTCCTTCGTCAATTAGATCCTCTACTTTACACGGGTATTCCACACCATTCACCTGGAGTGGTAATTGTTATTTAATTAATTAATTGAGTATATATTATTACCTTGAGTAATTTTATTGTCTGGATAAAATGATCAGTATTGTCACTGCACTAGTTGTGTTCATCAATCATCATTAAGACTTTAAGTTAAGCAATGTGAGTCAATTTCTAACATCAGCTTCAGGCTATTAACATTGATTACAATCCTCAACATGATAAATAATACATGGTTAATTTATGTAAGTTCAATAAGGGTCGCTATTTATAAAGTAAGTGTAAACTGTACATAGGTACATTCAGATGTATTAATCGGAGAAGATCGTGAAAAGCACTGATGAGTAGGAATCAGCGGTAGTATTATTACACAAGGGGACTCTGTCACGGGTCACCCACGGGTCACCCACGTGATAACTGTCAGCCATCACGCGAACTTTCTCACACAGCACACAGCACACAGCACACACATTACACAGGCGCACATATACACTCAGGAACAAAAGATTTTGTCAACTGTGTTTATCTTTCTACACTTCGAAGTGATGATTTCATCGCAATATTTCTCACTTAAAAATGGAAACAGCAGAAACGCGGCATGTTAAGCAATTAATTCGATCATTCACTTTATCGAAAAAATGTGCATATAAATTCGATTTGATTTATGAAATTATCGAGTTTTACCGTACACAGGAGAGTATAACTTGAGAAGTAAAACGTCTTGCTCAAATTTTGTTAAAGGTAAAGTATCGGCGAGCACAGCATTACAAGAGAAAGCACTGTGCATCGACTAAAGCAAAGGAAGGCCAAGATTCAGCAAATAATTAGGATTTAATTAATGTTTTATTTTTATATAAGGTATTGTAACAAGTCAGCTCTATTAGGTAGTTCTAATTGAGACATAGCCTTAACAGTAGAAAGACAAGACAAGTTGCTTGTGCCTCGTGATATGTAGCATTGGGCCTAAGACGACAACTATTCAATTTAATCGTTTTCATTCAAAATTCAAAAATTACGATTGCGAGAATATTCTCGAGTATTCTGATCAATTTGACAGTAATTAGCAAATAAACCAAACTATCCATTCAATGGAGGCAGAAAGCGCGGGAATATTTAGGGTTAGTTGCTGAGATCAGTAACAATCACAATATCGTACATGGTTTTAAATAATTCATACTCTGGTATGAAGATCGTTGCTGATTTTAAATAAGGAAATAAATGAAACTGATCCAAGAAACCGAAACTAAACATTCCCTGCCCATTCCACCCCATCACACATGTGCAATCAAACACAAGAGTTTGCCGGTTGCCCATGTCAAGGTGCAGTGTGCACCAATCACATCTATAACACTACACAGCAGATAATGAGAACTCAGATTTCTACAACTTATTGGTAACATATTGGTATAGATGTGTATACGTCACCATCAGCGGTATTTCGAACTCATCCTCCGCACTCCGAATGGTCAGATAACCCGGTCGGGACAGATAGCCGGGTTGTGGTCGCTACAAGGGATGTAGCTAAAGTTTCAGTTAATAAGTTAGTTGGTCAATAAATTAATTGATAGATTGATTAAGTAGCACGAGTTTGAAGTTTTTAATAAATCAGCATAAAAACGAACATGATTGTGGACATCCCGCCGATATATAATTATAGATAAATTGGGTTTATTGTTAACACCTTATCAGAGAATCAAATTAAGATGAAACGATACGAACATTAAAATCATATAGCTTTATTTATGTATATTAAGTAGTCAGGTAAAAATGCGAGTGCAAATTAGCATAGGGCTTATAATTTTTGACTAAAACTACAAATATACATAATTATACATATGGATGGCCAAGCTTATAAGTTATATATGTAGCGAAAAACAAATTCGATCAACTCATTAAAATCAATGTTTATGTGCGACAATAACAGCAATAAGCTGAAAAGATAAAGCAAGTCTTCTCTCACCTGCATAGCTTCCTTATCTCCAATGATATTCGAGGGAGGTTCCGGCTGTCTTATCACAGGCTGAGGCAAGCCAACTGGTGGCCTTATCGGCTTTATTGCTAAACGTGGCAAGTTCATACCTATAATCATTTATTTATTAGCATAAAAAGTATCTAAAAATGGAAGTGGCAAATATGTTGCAGCAAATTCACTAATTGTTCTCTAGAAATAAATTGATAAGTTGATAGTTAAATATTTCATTCTTGAATCATTTGTAGATTCATTGAATAAGAAACAATTTTTCGAACTGTTACGAAATAGCAAAAAATTCAAATTTTGTAGCTTGTAAACTGTGTTCATTATTTCATAAAAAGAAAAGGAAAATATTACACAAGATGGGACCCAATCAAATTATCATCATGTGACTAAGACAAACGGCATCTGTAGCACAAAATTTGAACTCTCGTGCAAACTTTATCACCATAGAAAAATGCCCAGGGAAATAAAAAATACCGAAGTTTTTAAACGTTACCTGTGTTACAAATTATTGAACGATTGTAACGTTAATCTGAGTCACAAATAAATAACAAACTCGAAAACTGTATAAAACTTCCATTAAAAATGCAAATTCTTAAACTTTGCCGCATTGCAATTGTACCCAATATAAAATTCATAAGCAATACTTAACTCACTTTGAATGCTGGGTGAAAATAAATACCTATAAATTATCATATAAATTAATAGTTAAAAATAAATTTATTGTTAAAAATATTTAAGTAATACATTATAAAATACATTTATATAGTATCATCTTAATGCAGTCAGGAGCACAAACTGTATCCATTTCACTCAATAAGTTATTTGCATATAAATATCATGCACTAAACAACACAACCTTAACACTTGATCTACAGAGTTTACTTTCCCAACAGATATTCATACATGTCACCTGTGATATCATTAGGATCATGAAATTTCACGCCACCAGGCCCACCACCAAGCTTAGCATTAAACATTTTAGTAAGCTTATCCAGTTGAGCAGATTGTGGGGTGGGTTTCTTTTCTTGTGCTTTTCTAACTTTCTCATGATGTGAGTGATTCCCTTGGTGCTTTATAGCCTTATTGAACATACTCCTGACTTCAGTGTGAGTTATGAGCCTATCAAAGAAGAAATCTCTCTGACCAGTTTTGGTCTGTTCAACACCATTGACCATGAAGTGATCTTCTGGGGTGGTTCCTGTCTGATTATCACAACAGATCCTCTGATACCGTCCTCCCGTCCCGGCATGTTGACGGGCACAGAGGGACAGCATTTATCAGCAGACATAGCCGGGAAAACTAAATCTGCAAGACTGTTTACAGTCTCTTTGCTTTCACTGTCGTAATAGATGTACAAGTCTTTATACTTGGCATTTTCAGAACACCATGCCATGCCAACAGGACGTCTCCAACCAAATCTGAAAACACCGTTTATAGAAGATCAAGGTATATAAAAGAAAAATGCAGCAAAGGAGATGAGTGACTTGATTTCATTATGGATAGAATTGAAATGCAAATTCGGATATATTTCCTAAATCCTGATGAGAAAATCTGCAAAAAGTACATCCACTAAAAGTACATAGCATGATGTTTAATTACACTACTATTAACATTCTTACCTTGATTTCAATTCTTGTATCTCTTTATACTCTACGAGTCCCTCCAGATATGATGTGTATATTGGTATTTCATCAGAACTGATCCCTTTATCGCATGGTCCAATAACAACACAGCTTTGACCTAGATACTCCAATTTTTCAGGTAGCAAAGAAAATGTACTTGGCTTGTTGACAATTTCAACCTCATATCTGTTACCGATTTCCTTTATAACAACACCCTCCTCTCCATTGAGATCTGCCCTTTTTACCAGGCCCTTCACTCTCACATACTCCCCGCGGTTGAATTTCCTCTGCATATCTAACAAATTAACATAATTGCATTAATGATGATGCAAGTTGTAAAATAATAGGTTATAATTAGCATTTTATCAACAATACATGGACACGTTCATTGAAGTTTGAGGATATTACTAAACAAACAACAAAATAGCGTGCTGAGTGGAGTTGGGTTAAAAACATATAAGAGATACGATGATTTAACTTGTAGAAGCTTTCAATAAACATGTGTTAATCGTCGTCAGCTGAATGTGATGTTTTTGATTGAAATAAATTTTCGTGCACATACAGAATGAATGGTTAATAATTTAATATATATGTAGACCAAGGTCTGTGCACGGGATGCTTCCTGGAAGAATCCAGTTCTTTTAGCGGGGCACCCTACCTAAAGCCAAATTGAGATATAATAATCATATTCCTAAGAAATAATCAGAAATCGAATACCAATCAAATAATATGATATATAGGAGTAGTAACCATATTTACTGTGCAAAATGCCCCAACCACATAGTGTAAATTTATATAGAATTCAAATTCCATATCATCATTAAACCTCAATAGTCAATATAATAGCCCAAGCAAAATTAAATAACTTCTTATATACCTTACTGTCATACTACAAATTGATTAAACATTTGAAATCTGTTAACCAGAGAATAAATTTCTAAACCTAATGCAAGTGAAATAATTTAGATGCAATAATGAATGCCTAATGTGAGTATCATCTGTCAATGTCCTTGTAAAACAGTCTGTACAAGAGATATGAGTAACTAATATAGAAGAAAAAACAGGAAGTTGTCGTCTGTTGAAAAATAAATAAAATATCTAGAATATAAATTAGAATATAAAATAACATTCAGTCAATGTGTCGTCAATAAACTGTACAATTATCAAATGTTAAAACTGGGTGATACAGTCACCAAAAATAAATACTAAGTATGATAAGTTAATAAATTAAATGTGGTCTATAAAACTACCACTAGGTATAATAGGTCAATAAATTAAAAGTGGTTTATAAAACTACCACTGTGCGAATCCCTTCTCCAGTTAAAACATGTCAGTCATGTGCAAAATCAATCAGAATGGTAAGGTGGTCAAAAAGGGAATATCCTTTCGACATAAATTATATATGCCTCAGATTTAAAAGAATTAGAAGATACTTAGTTATCGTCGACTATGATTGCAGTGTAAAATTTGTCATATGAATTGTCGACGGTGTAATTAGGGTCTGTTGTTATAGATGAGAGTAGCTGTTTCTTATACGAATCACTTAAGCTTTTAACATCGGGCAGATTTCGTAGATCTGTTGGAACATTATTCCAACATTTTGCCCCCAAGTATTGAAAGTTTTTATGTGATGTTGATCTATTAACATATAGGTTGCAGCTTTCGCCGCTCCTACTACCTCCTGATATGTAACTAAATTTGTTCATAAAGTTTGTAGGACAATTGTCATGGATGATTCTAAACATATAATTTGACAGATGGAGTTGTCGTCTAAGATGGAGCCCAGCTCAAGATTTATGCGAGATTGCGAGCCGGACTCATCGCACAAAATTTGTAAATAAATGAAGAAACAGAAAAAGTTTAACTTAAAAGTTGAGGTAATTAGGAACTTAACATGTATTTTATACTCTTAACGTGTATTTTATCACTTGTTTGTAGCGTGAAAACTTCGACGTAACGCGCGCGAGATTTTTGCCAGATTTTTGCGAGTTTCGTTAAAATCTCATAGCTAGGCTCACGATATCGTGAGATTCTCCGCGAGATTTCGGCACCCTCTTTCAGCACTACATATTCAGTCGCGCGCTTGCATTTTCATCGCTTTTCAGCGTGTTTATTCACTGTACTGTCTAAGTCTTAAAGGATACTAGTTGTTATAAGATCAAGATTCACAGTGGTTACTATAGTTACCATGGTTACCATTAAAGGAGGTACTATTCCTGGCTACAGTCTACTCAATCTTTCTCAGAATATACTTGATACTGCCATAGGCATAGTGAATTAAAAGTTTGAGAAAGGGTCTCTTCAACTGGAGAACTGACTTATTAATCCTAGCATGTAATTAACTCTGGATCCTCATCACATTGATTCCATTCTAAATTCTAGCCATAAACAAAACAAACATTACCAGATAACTCCGTTTACAATAATTTGACATGTTCCAGTGTGAACGAGGCCTTCCCCGGACAAATCCTTAAATGCCAGTCTTCTCTTGATCTTAGTTCTCTAGATGAAGTACGAACAGTATAATCTATCGGATAACGTATATAACAAGGTGCTCTGATGATAATTTTAGTAAAATAATTAATAATTGCCAAAAGAATGACTGCTGACGAGACTCGAACCCGAATCAACTGCTTGTCGAGCGCGCCCTAAACCATCGGGCTAAGTGAGGCTCACCATCATTTACAATATGTAACATAATATAATTCATAAAAATACGCACGTAAATTTTTCGTTATTTATGGATCCAATAACAGTGACATACTTTTCGCTTACAAAGGGACTCGTGAAATCTTTTTGAATAGAAAATAATTAGTGGGGCAAGAAATCTTGCAGGCTGGAGGGGGGGTGGGGAGTACATTTCGCCACTGCATGTGACACGTGAAAATCGCACTTCTAGTGTCAAAATCCAATCTCATCGCACTTTTTTTAGAATCTTGATAGGGGAGATGGAGTGGTAACCATTTCATGTCTCTATAAACATTAAGGCTGCTCTCTGTTTGTGGAACGTTGAGAGCTATTTTGGCTACCTTTTTGTACAGAGTGTCAAGTTCAGCAAGTTTTGTCTTGCCAGCTCTACAATAGATCGTGTCTAAATAATCGAATTGTGGCAACATGAGTGCATTGGCAAACATTTTCCTATATTTAATGGGTAGCAGTGCTTTGCTTCTATACATGGCACCAATTCTCTTCATGACCTTCCTAATAATATAATCTACATGGCTTTTGAAGCTTAATTTACTATCTAGAATGAGGCCAAGATATTTGTCTCTTTGCACTCCTTGATTGTGAAAGTTACCTCATTACATTCAATGGTTAATTCATCATGTTGATTAACAGAATCAAACAATAGGAATTCAGTCTTCTTTTCATTGAGTGATAATTTATTAACACTGAGCCATTTAAAGATTGTCATAAGTTCTATTTTTATGTTTATAAATGTGCTTCTGCAGGTTTGATCAAAGAATAGTGCACCATCATCTGCAAATAGAAAGGGCTTAGACAGGTTACAGGCATAAATGATGTCATTTATGAAGATACTAAATAATATAAGCCCAATGATGCTTCCTTGTGGTACACCACTCAGAACTTCTAAAAATGAGCTTATTTTGCCATTGATCCTTGTGCATTGATATCTACAAGATAAGAAGTTCTTAAACCAGGTTAAAGCAATGCCACCAATTCCATAATGCTGGTGGACAATGCTTATATGTGGTGGACAATGCTTATATGGACACGTTCATTTGAGTTTGAGGATATTGGTAAACAAAAATAATAGCGTTTTTGACGATAGTGGCTTAATTTTGACATCTATTAACCTAGCACGTTCAGAAGTTCTGAACATTAGCCGCGTAACCCATACTCCCATATGCACTGCTCAGAAAGAAAATCTATTGTTGTTAGGCACTGTAATGGTTCAAATGTCACATTTTGTGTGACTTAGTTAACTGCAGTTGTCTAATTATCATTCCTTGGTCTGGAACATAGTAGATTAGGTCAATCTAACAATTATGATACAACATTGGTTAAAGGGCACGGATCGAACGGTTACAAGGCAATATTTAGGTAACTTTGTCACACTCAGAATACCATACCTCTATTCTACTGTGAGGTGTCCTCAAAACCCTTTTTACTCATTATTTGATGGTTGATCTACCAAGTACGGAGTACCAATCATAGCCTTAAAATATGTTGCTTTGAATAGTAAGCTAATACAGGCACTTGGTTATTGGGAAATGAGGTTAATTCTGTCACAATATATGGAATTTAAAATTTTGGGCGAATTATTTATATCTGATTTTGGTTTGAAAGGCGGGAAAACTTTACATGATGACAATGTAGTTGATGCAAGTTAAGATCAGTTGATGTTTACATTGTCACAAAAAATTAAACGAAATCGTAAATAGGTTAAAAACAATGATTATATAATGAAATAGTCTCTTATAATAAGTAATAACTCTTATAATAACTGATGTGACAAAGTAAACATGTCTTGCCCCTATTTTGAAGATCTATATATTCTATAACTCTATTAGAATTTAACATTCTTTCAGAAAAAATTGGTAGAATATTGTCCAGAACATCAGAGCTCAAGTTTAACAATTTTGGGTTAAATTTGTCAAAGTCACTAAAAATGTGACAAAATTAACTTTTCCTGCCCCAACAATTTCAAGATAGTGTGTAAAAATTAGCATAGGCTGCCTTATTACCTAAATAAATCAATCCAAACTACAAAAAAATATATGTTAATGTGATGACGATTACCTAACTGTAATAATAACTGATGTGACAAAGTAAACATGTCTTGCCCCTATTTTGAAGATCTATAACTGTATTAGAATTCAACATTCTTTCAGAAACGATTGGTAGAATATTGTCCAGAACATCAGAGCTCGAGTTTAACAATTTCAGGTTAAATTTGTCAAAGTCACTAAAAATGTGACAAAATTAACTTTTCCTGCCCCAACAATTTCAAGACAGTGTGTAAAAATTAGCATAGGCTGCTTTATTACCTAAATAAATCAATCCAAACTACAAAAAAATATATTTTAATGTGATGACGATTACCTAACTCTAATAATAACTGATGTGACAAAGTAAACATGTCTTGCCCTTATTTTGAAGATCTATAACTGTATTAGAATTCAACATTCTTTCAGAAACGATTGTTAGAATGTTGTCCAGAACATCAGAGCTCAAGTTTAACAATTTTAGATTAATTTGTCAAAGACACTGAACATGTGACAAAATTAACTTTTCCTGCCCCAACAATATCAAGATAGTGTGTTAAAATTGGCATAGGAATT